AATTGGTTCATTTCAACACTTATTCTTGCTCAAATATAACTAAAAATTCTTGTTTTTGTCTATTAGTTAAACAAAGAATCATGGATGTAGTGAGATACACCACACGATAGCAAAGAAAAAAAAAAGGAAGACGGCAAAAATAAGGAAATCAAGAATGCATGAATTCACGCAACATCAACCAATAACACTAGTTTGAATTTTTCGATTTTGGATCGAGAATTCATTGTGTATAATAATATGTGTAGAATTGAGTTGTATATTTAATATTCAATATTTTAATTTTTGGTGATATACATGATTTTAATAAGAAGGAAATAAACTTTTTTGTTTTCCAAAGTATTAATACAAATCACATCCTTCAAAAGCAAATATTTAAATAGTATATATATATATATATATATATATATATATATATATATATATATATATATATATATATAATACTAATATTTTTTGACGACTTTGAACCATCATTCACTAACTACATTAGAATATTTGACACTATATGTTCATAAACACATACTGTACAAAAGTTAAACATTTGGTTCTTGTATCAAGTCTCTCATAGGACCTAATATTTCTAAACTTATTATCTTTATAACCCTTATTAGAACAAATAAATCTTTTCATAAAAAATGAGTCATCCCTTCGCTTCTTACTCCTCCCAACTCTGATCCCAAAACCTTTCATAAAATCATACTCATTATATATTTCATAAGCATCATCTTCAGAAGGAAATTGTTTCCCCCAAAAATCAAAGTTACTTGCTTCTTTAAAAATAATATCATCCTCTGTCCCACTACAATAATTAAACATGTAATAAATGAACAAATACAGTAGCAATAGTTAGGGTTGTACACCGGTCCAAAACCGGACCGGACCTGGACCGGACCTGTTCGGACCGGGACCTGAATCAGCCAATTTTGAGGTTCGGGGACCGGACCTGATTCAGCAGGTCCGGGTCAGGTCCAGACCTGAGCAATCAGATCCGGGTCAGGTCCAGACCTGAATAGACCTGTTTTGTGTGTTTTTTTTAAAAGAAAATAAATAACCTGTTGGACCTGTTTATAGACCTGTTTATGGACCTGTTTACATAAAATCAGAAAATATCAATAACAAAAAATACATAAAATCTCTAAGTCTCAAATATAACAAATAATTCATTAAATTACATAAAGTCTCTAAGTCTCAAATATTAGAAATACATTAATTATCCAAAGACAACTTGAATTTTGGCGAGTTGCTTTCCCTTTGATTGCGTGATTCACACTAATGAGTATAATCCGTGGTTCTTGTTGATCCTAAACATATAAAATGATATAATTCAATTACAATTCAAATTGAATTCACAAAATAAACAGAATACATACAAAATATACAATACACTAGCATGTGGTACAAACCGTGCAATACACCATTTGATTAGTACACTGTCCAACAAATTTACAACAAATTCACAGAATATTACACTGCATATATTCTGAAAATATAAACAGATTTTAAACTGTTCCATAAGTTATACAACAAGTAGAGTAGCCTATCCCTGATTTATCAATCTACTCCCAGCAAATTTACAATATAAACAAATTTTAAACTCACAAATCGAAAGAAACCAAAATTCAACATGAATTCGAAACAATTGAACTAAAAAAATCAAAAACAGTTACTTTAAATAAATAAAAAGCTAAAAAAAAAAAAACATGAATTCGAAAATAATGAACTAAAAAACAGAAATTCAACGTGCAAACATCAAACAATCATTATAAGCAATTGAAACATGAATAAACATATGAATGCCTCACATTAATTCAACATTTCAAATACAAAATACCCAATTCAAATATAATTCGATTTAATTAAGAAAAAAAAAGAACTTACAAATCCCACCGAGAAGGAGTTCGTGCAGGTGGACGAAGATGGTAGTCTGGCTGATGCAGCGTGTAGAGGTTTCTGTGCTGCTGGTCTGGTGGGCGGTGGCGACTGGTGTCTGGGCGGTGGCAACTGGTGTCTGTGCAGATCTGCTGCGTGAGGGAGTGAGTGTTGGTGTGGTGTCGGTGTCGGCTGAGAGAGAGAGAGTGCGTGAGTGAGGAGTGAGTTAGGGTTAGTGGGTTACAAAAATGAACAGACTTGTTTTGAAATTTTGATATTTTTTTTTAAATAAAAAAGGCATTTTTACCGGGTTTCAGGTCCAGATCTGAAAACCCCGGGTTTGGACCTGATCCGGACCGGGACCGGGAACCTTGATTTTCAAGGATCGGGACCAGACCTGAATCTACAGGTCCGGGTCAGGTCCGATCCAAACAGGTCCGGGTCAGGTCGGTTTTCAGGTCCGGTCCTGTTTATGTACACCCCTAGCAATAATGGTCAATTACAATAATGCATTTGATCAATTACAGTAAAATTATCATATATAAAAATATAAACGATCATCTATAGTTACATAACTGAACATTATTAATAAAACTACAAAACAATGATAATCATTAAAAGTTACATGTAATTAAAACTTATAATTCCATAAACACAAGTGTATATATAAATGAACATTTATAATTGCATAATTGAACATTATTAAAACAAAACAAAATAACAAATGTTAAACTATTTTTTTTTTGGGAAATTCTCAATGGTACTCATGTACTTATTTTTTTTCTCAATGGTAAACACTAACTTTTCTAATTATCTATGGTAATCAATAATTAACTAATCTAATTCAATGGTAACTTGAGTTAAGCATTTTTAGTATAATTAACCATGGTTTATGCTTAAATGGGAGGGAAAAGATGAATTGACTAAAATACCCCCATTTATTTTAGCCAACCAACTGTGTCTTGTCAAAGGGTCTGATTAAAATTTTTGAACTTCATCATCTTCATTCGAGTTCTTGATTGCTACCTCTGAAAATCGAATCTGACTAAAAATTCTTGCTCCAAAACTCTCATAAAATCTAGTTTATTGTCTAGTATAATTTAGTAGCAATTAAATTAGGGTTTTTCGGAAGGCTTGTGAATTGTTGAGGGGTATCTGGGTTGTGCGACTGACGCATAATTTGGGTGCATTTGGAGGCTAATTTGTAGCAAAAAGGTTGCGATTGTCATAAAGGTTCGATCTTTGTTCGAATTATACCATTTGAGGTGCGATCTTAAGTCAGGTATGTATTTTTTTCGCTATAATTTGGTGCATGCTCTGTTTTTGTAAATGTGTAGGGTTTTAGTGTATTACTACTACTGCTGTTGGTTTATTGTTGTTTATTTTGGCAAAATTAATGTTATGTTGTGTATGGAGTTAATTATTGGGGTTTTATTGTTAGAATTAGTTGAATATTGAACTTGATGTTGTAGGTTATATGCTAATACATGTTACTTATATTTGCTGCAGAATGGGTGATAATATAAAGTTACAATTTCAATACCTTGGTAAAGATGTGACTGTTGTTGTTGAGGACATTGATAAGGCCAATTTGATTGACCTAATTATAGAGTACTGGGAGAAAGCATCTAGGGACAATATAGAAACTCCAGAACACCCTACATTTAACTATGTGTTTAAAATGAAGCATGTTAGTCTTTTAAGTGATGTTGACTTAATGAAAATGTTTAGTAATTTGCCTGAGAAGAAGGAGATATACATATGGGTAGGAACAGTAGGTAAGGATAGTAAGGTGGTCCAAGATTCTAGGTCACTGATGTCAGGGAAGACACCAGCTGAACCCATTAGTATGGACAAGTCTTTTGTGAGTCAACCTAAAGTGATTGACATGAAATCTAAACTGACACCTAGGAAAAGAAAGACTGGTGAGCCTGAGTTAGTTGAAGCTGAGGTTGTCAGTAAAGAAGACTTTGAGAGGCATATGATTGCAGTAGGTAAACTTCCAATCGATGAATATGATTTGGATCAGACTGCCCATGCTATTAATCAATGCATAGATGATAAATGGACTGACATTATTGATTCACCTAATAGAGAGACTGAGAGTGATAGGGTACCTGATGCTCCAACAGTGACTGAAACTGTAAGAGGAAAAGGGAGGGGTAGGGGAACTGGTACAGGGAGAGGAAAAGGGAGAGGCAGGGGCAATGGTAGAGGTAGAGGTAGAGGCAGAGGGGCTATCAATGAGACAAGTAGAGGGAATGGGAGAGGTAGAGGGAGAGGGAGAGGTAGAGGGATAGGGAGAGGTGGAGGGAGGGGGGTACAGTGGACTATTGGTTTAACATATCTCCTACTCCATGGGATCCAAACCAGCCTATTGATCAACCTACTGAAGACCATGACACTCAAATACCATCAGAGTTATTTACACAACAAACATAACCCCCTCACCCATCAACCCAATCACTGTTACATCCTATTGAAAACATAGGAGAGTTTGCTAGGTGTAGTAAAAACTCAAATGAAGGAGGGTCTGGTGAGTCTTCTAGAGCATCTGTCTTCTGTAAGAGGAGAGTTCCAAGGACTACTGCTAAGAGACATGGAGTTGTGAGTAGCAACAGTGCAAGTGGTAGTGAGCAAAATGCAGCTTCTGGTGTAGGTAGTACTAGAAGGAGTTTGAGCATTAGCCTTAGGGATGATGCTGACCAGATACTGAGTCTGGAAGAAGATGATGCAGAAGATGAAGGGTACAATCCAACTGAGCATGACAATGAAGACACTGATGAGAGTGTAGATACAGAAGATGATATACAGGAAGATGAATATGGTCCTTTGATTGAGGATGGCTTTGATCCATTTGAGGAGCCTGTTTTTGAGTGTGAAAATGAGCAGGACAATTATTTTGCAAAGTTATACAACAATGGTGAGGTATACAAGGATGATGGTTTTGGTAAAATTGTGTTGAAGCCATGGCAGTTATTCACAGATAAGCAACATTTGAGAGATGTTGTAATTAAGGGACTATTGCATACAATGTGGATTTTCCATCATTGTTGACTATGCAAGCAACTTCAGGTACTCAGTTTCATGCTCAGATATGAAACTAAGTACCTGAAGTTGCAATTGGAGATATGAGCTGCAATTGGAGATTACATGCCTCTCTCCTTCCAGATGGCACAACATGGGCTATTAAGTCCATTGAGAATTTAGAACATACTTGCCAAGGGGTTGAGCTCAGAAATTCTATGGTGAATTGCAAATGGGCAAAGAGAGTACTTTTAGATGACATTAGAGCAAACAATGACATCCCTGCAAAGTCATTGAATGACCTATTGTTCCAGAGATATGGGGTCAATATGGCTCAGTCTACTTTGTACAGAGTCAAAACTCAAGCCTTAGAGGAGATCCATGGCAGGCATGATGTGTCATACAAACATTTGCCAATGTATTGTGATGTCATCAAAGAGTTAAACACAGGGAGTTTGGCTCACTGTGCATGGAAAGATGCAAACCACCCTGAAAGACCTCTGGCATTTAGCAGTATTTTTATTGCCTTCAAAGCTTCATTGGATGGTCTCAAATCTGGCTGCAGAAGTCTCATAGGGGTGGATGGAGCTCATCTCAAAGGTCATTTTGGTGGAGTGCTTTTGTCAGCAGTAGCCTTGGATGGTAATAATGAGATCTTTCCAATTGCTTGGGAAATTGTGGGAGGAGAGGATGCTGAAACATGGAAGTTATTTATATGGAATTTGAAGAATGCTTTAAAAGATAGTGGAAGAGGGGATGAATGGTGTATTATCTCTGACAGGCAGAAGGTAATGATTCTATCTTTAATGGTCAATTTTTGCATTTATGTAATATATACTACCTGACACTAAGTTAACACTTCTGTATGTTTTTGGTAGGGTATTGAGGCTGCAATTCTGGAGTGTTGGCCTAAAGTGGGAAGGAGATACTGCTGCAAACATTTACTGAAGAATTTCAAACCACAGTTCCCTGGTTTGTTAATGTTCTCATTATTTTGGTTGGCTTGTGGAGCATTTAATCCCTTTATTTTTAGAAAGGCTATGGAACGTTTGCAAAAGGCTAATCCATTGGTTGTAGTGTGGTTTTCTAAGCTTGGACCACAATCAGTGTGGTCTAAGCATGAATTTAATCCAGCTATAAAGTCAGATGTCAACAAATCAAATTTTGTGGAAAGTTTCAACTCCACATTAGGCCTTGATAGGTGTCGACCTGTTATGACATTGCTAGAAGGTAATATTAGTCACTTGCCTAGGTTGTTGTGTCCTTACTTGTATTTCAGTGACATTTTGACCCTAACCTTACTTGAATATAACATGTGTGAAGAGGCTTACCATGGTCAGGATGGCTACTAGAAGGGAGGCATGTGAAAAATGGAGAGGTGATATCTGTCCAAACATAGTTAGAAGACTCCAAGTCATTAGCGAAGAATCAAGATCATGCAAGTGCTTGGTGAGTGGGGAAGGTGAATATGAAGTGTTGGATGGGAGATCAGTCTTACCTGTAAATCTGAGGGCAGGTACTTGTGCTTGTAATGCATGGCAGTTGACTGGCTTGCCATGTAAGCATGCCATGAGGGCCATCTTACACTCACATGATGACCCTCATAAGTATGTCAGTGACTAGTATTCAATCACCAAGTACAAACTGACTTATGGAAACACCATTAAGGCAATCCCTGATGTGGAGTAGTGGCCACAAAGTCAGTACCCTGAGATAGCCCCACCCCAGATGAAAAGAGGGATAGGCAGACCTGCAAGAAACAGAAGGAGGGAAGAGGGTGAGCAAGCCAAGGGCAAAAGATCTAAAACAGTCAGGTGCAGCAAATGCCAAACCTTTGGCCACAATGCACAGACCTGTCAAGGTGGAATGACAGGAAAAGTGAAGGCTGGTTTGCAAGCAACAACAGCAGAATCAAAGAAAAAGAAAGCTCTAGCAACCTCTTCTCAACCATTAAGGAAATCTCCTAGAGGAAAGACTCAAGGTGTTTCTCTCAGCCAACCAGATCCAGCCCCTGCATCTTCTTCTCAACCAGTAAGAAGATCCCCAAGAGCAAAGAAGGCTATGACTGGTCTGTTTGCATCACAGCCTGTTCCTTAGTTTAAGCATGCACACCCATTTTAGTTGATGTATTTGTTTTGGAAACATTTAGTTACTGATATCAGCTTATGTATGCTGACTTGTTTTTTGGACAACATTAGTTAATGATGCAATTGCTTTATGACAGTTGATGTTTTTGGATAACATTAGTTAATATGCTGATTTTGGTTTATCTCTGTCACTTTGAATGTGTAATTTCAATGTGTTATATGTTATATGCATGTGTTATATGCATGCAATATTTGTAATTTCAATGTTGTTGATACAGAACAAATAGAATGCAAAATAACGGAAATTCATCTACTTTTATTCAATTAGAAAGTAGTACATAATTAGGGAATACATAAACACCTACTTAACTGAAACTAAGGCTACCACAATTCTCCCTAATTACATCATCTAAATTTCGATTTGCAACAATAACTAGCATAATAAAGTACATAATCGACCAATTTTAACAATTCCCTTAATATACTTCACCAATCCATCCACCTTTTCATTCAAAGCAACAATGAGACTCTGTTTAACCTCTAATTCATCCTTCAGCCACGCAAAAAAATCGCAAGACCTGCACTTGTAAAACAACCTTCATGGGTTTTTTGCCGTTTTCGAAACCATGACAGCAGCAGCCTGGGGTGGTTTGCAGTAGCAATGGACATGCTTCACCCAATCAAGCTTCTCGTCAATTGTGATACCCCTAACAGAAGAAGAATGAGATAATTTCATTGAGAAATTTAGCTTAATTGCAAATAATTGAAATACAGGGGAAATATGAATTGGGATTTTCGTTTCTAGGGTTTATAAAGCTAAAAAATTGGGGATTTTGGATTAGAAGGGAAAAGGGCAATCTGGTTTGGAGGGAAAACTGATTTCTAAGGGTAAATTAGACTTTTTGACTTAAGTTAACTATAGTTAGGCTAATATTAAAGGATTAATGTCAAAAAGTTACCATTGAATTAGATTAGTTAATTATTGATTACCATAGATAATTAGAAAAGTTAGTGTTTACCATTGAGAAAAAAAGTAAGTACATGAGTACCATTGAGAATTTCCCTTTTTTTTTTAGGGAACAAATATTAATATATGTTCACTAGTTAAAATTTATATGAGCGTCTTTAAAAGAATGAAAATCATTGAAATTCACATGTACAACATATATTTTCGTATATGACTACAATAAACCTATAGTTTTCTACAGAAACATACATTAAACATAATTGAAGAATAAACCTATAGTTTTCAAATTAGAAGAATAAGATTCAAATAAACCTATACACAATTACACAAATAAGATTCAAATTAGAAGAATAATACAACCAAAACTATGAATCAACTACTAATAACAATAGTCTTCAAAAAAAAAAAAACTACTAATAACAATAACAATACCAAAACCAGAGCATTATTATCAAAATTAAAATCAGTAGAACAAAAACTATGAAATCAAACATTATAATCGTACAATTACAATCGAAAAACATAGCAATATCAAAATCGATTATTGATTATCATTTAAAATACGAATTACTTACATTGATGTTTAAACGAAACAAGTAATCTAACTCCAATAGGGAAAATTAACTCACAATCATGATCAAATGCAATTGAGTTTGAGATCTCCATAGAAGAAGAGAGAGAAAATTAAATAGTGAAAAATAGGAGAGAGAAAATTAAAAATTAGATCTATAATATATATATTTGGTTTTCTTGAATGGAAAGTTAAAAGAAAAAAAAGGCATTTATACGTAGTTAGTGGGGAGGGGATGTAGGGGAAGCTACCTACCGTAGAGTGTAGTGAAAAATTTGTATTCTTTCTCCGATCTTTACTTTCAAAAATTCCCCTCACTTTCCTCCCGGGAAAAAATACAAAATTTTCCCTAGACTCTAATGTATGCAGCTTCCCCTACACCCCCCTTTCTATACTACGTCGTTTTATCTAGTAGCACTTTTTGTATTATTTTTTTTTCCTTTCCTTCTTTGCTTTCAATTCAAACAAGAATATAAACATTTTTACAAACCTCATTTGCTTCATTTTCTCTCTCTTCTTTTTCACTGATATCATTTTCTCTCTCTTGTTTTTTCTTTTTATTATAGTTTTTTAAATTTCTCTCTCTTCTTTCATGGAGATCAATGTAAATAATTCGTACTTTTAATGATAATCAGTCAATCGATTTTGATAATGCTTTGTTTTATGATTGTAATTGTATGATTATAATGTTTTGATTTCATAGTTTTTGTTGTATTGATTTTAATTTTGATAATGCTCTGGTTTTGGTATTATTGTTGTTGTTATAAGTTGATTAATAATTTAGGTTGTATTGTTCTTCTAATTCGATTGTTTTTTTTTGTTTTTGTTTTTGTTTTTGTATTTTTTTTATTGTAATGTTATTATTTGAGTGTTGTTTTTTTTTATAGACTTCATTTTCTCTCTCATTTCTTTCACCAATTTCATTTTCTCTCTCCTCTTTTTCACCAATTTCATTTTCTCTCTCCTGGTTTTTTTTTTGATTTATTGTTTTTCAATTTTATCTCTCTTCTTTCATGGAGATCAATATAAGTAATTCTTACTTTTAATGATAATTAGTCAATTGTTTTGATAATGCTTTGTTTTACAATTGTAATTGGATGATTATAATGATCTGATTTCATAGTTTTTGTTGTATTGACTTTAATTTTGATGATGCTTTGGTTTTGTTATTGTTGTTATTAGTTGATTAATAATTTAGTTTGTATTGTTCATCTAATTCGGGGTTTTTTTTTTGTATTTTTTATTGTTGTTTATTCCAGTTTTGTGCGTTTCGTATGAGTATATATTGTTGTTTTAATTTTGCTATTCGATTATTTTTACCAGTTTTGTGCGTCGTAAAAAAATAATCTTAGTTAAAATAATGATCACTTCTGTAACAGTATATGTTCATTTATATTTAATGTATTTTTTATGTATTAAAATACTTGTATATGTTTATTGTAGTTGTATTTGAATACTTATGTTGTACATGTGAATTTCAATTATTTTCATTGTTTTATAAATGCTCATATACATTTTAACTAGTGAATATATTTTATATTTGTTCTGTTGTAATAATGTTCATTTATGTAATTATAAATGTTCATTTATATATATACTTGTGTTTATGGAATTATATGTTGTACATGTGACTTTTTTTAATGATTATCACTATTTTGTAGTTTCAGAAATAATGTTCAGTTATATGACGATAGATGATCATTTATGTTTTACATTTGGTAATTCAACTGTAATTGACCAAATGTATCATTATAATTGAACATTATTGATAATGTAATTTATTACATGTTACATTATTGCAGTGGGAAAAAAGGATATTATTATTTTTGAAGAAGCAAGTAAGTCTGAGTTAGTGGGGAACGAAACAATTTAAAACTGCTGATGAAGTTTATGAAATGTGTTCAAATTCCAATTATATGGTCAAGCAAATAATCAAGTTGCTACTAGTGTTTGAAAGATCGAGTGCTCAAATTCCTCCCATTATCTTCCAAAAATGTAAAAATTCCTATAAATGCTCAAATGACTCTAATATTTATAAGAATATCTTTAACCTTTTGTTATTAGGATCTTGCTAACGAGCGCCCTGGGGCGTTAGATAAGGTTAAATTATATTGGTTGAAATAGTATTAAGTTAGGAATTCATGACAAAATCATGCGTCGTTCGGTGCAATTAATGTTAATTTTACTCTAATATTTGCACTTTAATTCTCTTATCTAACGCCCCGGGGGCGCTCATTAGCTTTTGCCTTGTTATTAAGTACTATTCTTCTTATTGAATATTAATTTTTTTTAAAATCTTCTATAAGTGAATATTTTAGTATTTGTAATTGAGCATTTAGTTTTTAAAAATGATCATTAAGTTTTTGTAAAGAATCATTTAGCTTTTGTGAATGATCAAAATTGATTAACATAATACTTTACATAAAATCCGCAATTTTCATATAAAATTGTAAGAATTATTCTATAAACAAATAATATCTACTCCGTATCAAACTTTAAACGTTTAAAATTAAATAGTTAATCACATAGAGTAATTCTGTTAACAAATAATATCTACGAAGTATAAGTTTTATCAACCAGCTATGGACATATATCTATCCATAAGTGAACATATTATATTATGCCTTTGCAAATCTTCTTGATGTTATTCTATTATTCTTAGACTCATGGTTTTTCTTCAGTAGCATTAGTTGAGCAGTGTATTGCAATTTGCATCCCCAACCTTGTGATTTAGCCTACATGTTAATGAAAATGAATTGTTATTAAAATAAACAGTACATTTAGTGTTATATAATTGAACATTATGTGCTACAAAATTGAACACTAAATACTATAACTTGTTTATTAAATTTTACTTAAAATGTTAGCTTTAAAGGCACAAACATTATGTGCTACAAAATTGAACACTAAATATTATTTTGCCAAATCGTTTATTTTTATCACATTGGTGTATCGTTTAAAAATACTTTTAGTAAAAAAAAATGATCACTTGTGTAATAGTAAATGTTCATTTATGTTTAATGTATGTTTCTGTAGTAAACTATAGGTTTATTGTAGTCGTATAGCAAAATATATGTTGTACATGTAAATTTGAATGATTTTCATTCTTTTAAAGATGCTCATGTAAATTTTAACTAGTGAACATATTTTAATATTTATTCCCTCAAAAAAAATAGTTTAACATTTGTTATTCTGTTTTGTTGTAATAATGTCCAATTATGCAATTATAAATGTTCATTTATATATACACTTGTGTTTATGGAATTATAAGTTGTACATGCAACTTTTAATGATTATCACTGTTTTGTAGTTTCATTAATAATGTTCAGTTATGTAACTATAGATGATCATATACATTTTTACATATGGTAATTTTACTGTAATTGATCAAATGCATTATTGTAATTGACCATTATTGCTACTGTATTTGTTCATTTATTACATTTTTAATTATTGCAGTGGGAATAGAGGATGCTGTTATTTTTGAAGAAACAAGTCACTTTGATTTTCGGAGGAAACAATTTCCTTCGGTAGATGATGCTTATGTAATATATAATGAGTATGCTTTTATGAAAGGTTTGGGATCAGAGTTAGGAGGAGTAAGAGGCGAAAGGATGGCTCATTTTTTATGAAAGGATTTATTTGTTCTAATAAGGGGTTATAAAGATAATAAGTGTAGAAATATTAGATCCTATGAGTGACTTGATACAAGAACTGAATGTTTAACTTTTGTACAGTTTCCTATTGATCGTTAAGGTGTGTTTATGAACATATTCTAATATAGTTAGTGAATGATGGTTCAAAGTCGTAAAAAAATATTAGTATTATATATATACTATTTAAATGTTTGCTTTTGAACGATGTGATTTGTAATAATACTTTGGGAAACAAAAAGTTTATATCCTTCTTATTAAAATCAAATAGAAATTGTATATCACCAAAAATTAAACTATTGAATATTAAATATACAATTCAATTCTACACATATTGATGTTGCGCGAATCCATGCATTCTTGATTTCCTTATTTTTGTCGTCTGATCTTTCTTTTTTTTCCTTGCTAAATATCCACGATTCTTTGTTTAACTAATCGACAAAAACAAGATTTTTTTAGTTAGATTTGAGCAAGAATAAGTGTTGAAATGAACCAATTTTCATATGAATATGAAAATATAACAATTGAAATGATCGATATGGAAATGAACATATATTAATATATAAATGAACATATATATTTGTAGAATTGATCATCTACTAATATGGAATGAACAACTATTAATACAATAATGAACATATTTACATAATTGAATATGAAAATGTACATCTATTAATATATAAATGAACATGCATTAGTTTAAAAATGCCTATGAAAGATATCAATTGATGAACATGAAATATATACGTAAATAACACTTGAAGCTATCAATATGTGATTTATCATACATCCATCTGAAAAAAGACATATGTTGAAACTCAAAATTTAACCGAGCATGAAATATTTGAAGAAGATGACCAAAATATAAATATTTATCAAAATTCTAGTAATCGTATATTAATATGTGAAAACCATATACTTTTATGCGATTGAACATCTACCAAAATACAACCGAATATTCATCTAAAATCACTTTCCACTCCAAACTATGAAAAAGAATGACATTTATATATACAATGACTATGTAGTAATAATTTTCCACTCCAAACTATGAAAAAAAATTAACATTAATACAATGACTATGTTGTGATATATAAATGTAGTAATATATTTATATTAATCATCTATTAACATGTGAATGATTGTATACTAGTATATAAATGAACATTTATTGAAACGGAAATGAACATTCAGTAAAAAAGAAACGCTACAAACTAATTCAATTAATGTTTATTTTTCTCCAGATTCTTTGATGTTCTTCTCTGAAACTATTTCCTTCAACTGCCCAAAAAAAAAGAGAGAATACTTCATAGTTCATACCCAAAAATGAAAAGCTACTTGTTCAGATTACTAGTTTTTAAACGAAAATTAGTAAAAATTACTAAAATGCAATAGTTCATAATCTTTTTCTGTGTTTTATACTTCGATGATGATCCTGTAACACAATTGCAACAAAAATTACTAAAACTAGGGTTCGTTTATATTCTTTTTTGAACTAAATATGAACAAAATCACTTACTCCTTTGAATTTCGACCTTGATTAGTTGAATTATGTAGTAACTGAACAATTTTTTTTGATAATTTGTCACAAATTTATAGAAATTTCATATTTGAAAATGCAAAAAATAGATGTAGAGAGAGAAAATGTGGAAAATGGGTGAGGAGAGAGAAAGTGAAATGATAATGGTTTTTTTTTTCTTATGTATATATGGGGTGGGGGAAATAGTACGGATATTACTATATAGTTACTGTAAAAGTGAGTATTTGGGGAAGGGTGTTAAACGATGAGTTTAGGGAGGGGTGTAGGCTAAGATGCCTAGACTAGAGTCTAGCCATATATAATCCGGGAAAAAAGGAGAATGGGCCCACTCATTGACAGCGATACTGCCCACCTTCTTCTCATCACTAATTTATTCCTCTTCCACTTGAACACATCCAAATTACTTGTATATAAAAAAAAAAAAAAAACAATTAAAAAAATATAATATATGCTCTGTTTTTAGCCGTCAGCAAAGTCAAGCTACAAAATTCCACTCATTTCAGGTAAGTTTTAAGCATACCCTTTCTCTCTTTTTATTCAATTTTCATCTTTAATCTTGTTATTGATGTTATTTTACATAATTAATGAATTTTTGATGTGGGTTTTTCTTGTTAATTTAGATTATATTTCATAATTTGGTTGTAGCTGTGCATAATACTCAATCATTGGACTTGTTAATTTTCTGGGTTTTTCATGTTTTATGCTGGATTTTATTTTTTAAGATCATATCTTAACTAGATTGAGAAATGAGAATAATTTCAGTAGTTTTTCCCGATTGAATTGTATTATTGTTGAGTAGAATTAATTTGGGGTTTTAGTTTTAATATGTAGTGAAATTTATATAAAATTTCTAATGACACTGCTCAATCAGATGAATTTCATGTTTAGACTAGTATGCTACATATTCTCTTGAACCTTGATGCTTTTATATTGGAGGAGCTTTATATTGGAGGTATAGAAAGGCATGCCTTTTTATTGGCAGAAGTGAATAAGTTACTTTTGTGTTATTAGTTTGATAGAAGTAGAGTATCATATTGCTGAAAGTTTTTCTTTTTAATTTGTAATAGGGTCTTCACTGATTACTTAGAGATTATACCGGTTTAAAATTGACATACTAATGAAGTTGAACATTCTATATTTTGTCACACAATTAACATGGTTTGCTCACTTGGAGGTGATATAAATATTTCTAATTATGGGTTCTGTTTATTATTATATGGATGAGGTCATGGTGAAAGTAAGATATATAATGCTCTTATATGTTCAATGTAATGCCAATACCATTTGCTTGAATCTTATAATCGATGTGGTCTATTGCCTATTATATTCGCCGGGAGGTGAAGGGGGGATGAAGTTTTTACTGTAGTTATGGGACTCATGAGTAATGACTGTATGGAAATTTTAAAGTGTTTGCTTCCTATATTGTGTTCATTATCAGACTTTGTGTACTGTTCAGAAATCTGTGTCCTAAGCTTATTTGCACCCTTCAGTTGTGTATTGTTTCTTATTTTGGTCGTGCTTGCCCCTTTGCTGTTTAACAGGAAGCTTATTAGTGTGTGATTGATTGGATAAGTTTTGAGATACTACCTACATTACACCCTCGGAGTTTATATTGATGATACAATGCAGTTGTATCATCACCCCTTCTCTGTGGATAGCCAAAAGGTGAGGCTTGCACTGGAAGAGAATCAAATTGATTATACATCATATCATATCAATCCTATCACTGCCAAGAACATGGATGCATCATTCTTCCGGATGAACCCAAGTGGGAAATTGCCTGTGTTCCAGAATGGTTCTCACATTCTATACAACACGATTGAGATATTGCAGTAAGTGATTTCTTTTGCCATTGTTTTTTCTTTTTTTGTCAATTTTCAATACCTCTAGCAACAAATTTTTTATCCTTGAAGCACTCATATGGAGTTCAATGGACACCGTCGCTGTATATTCCATTAGTTTGAGGATATGTCTTTGATACATGTTTGTTTTTATTGCTGATTTTGTACTTAATTCGGTTATGCTATCCTTAGTTCAGGACTTCAGGGTATTCAGTTTTGGATGTCTATATGTTGTTATTCTAGGACGTTGTAGATGTCAAATACTCAAACGTACCATCACCGTAATGACTCTAAAGAGGTTCCCACTTATGAGGTAGGGGGTGGGTCACATTTGCGTAGCCTTTTCCTATACAATTGTAAAGAAGCTCTTTTAAGTCTTGCAAAAAGACAGTATCCATTTAACCCTTGATCATAAAGGTAGACCTCCTACCTTTACAATTTAGTGAAATACTATGTATTTGATATTGTCCTTAGTAATTCTAGTTGAAATATAGCCCATCAGAAAGTTTCATGTATTCACGTGTCCTAGAAGATTTTCTTTCAATTATGCAAAAGATTTATAGTATTGAGTTGATATATAGGATTCTGTAGCATGTTCTGAATTCTGATATGGTTTTTGGTTGATGATTAATAATTAAAAATCCTGTTACTTTAGACATAAAGTTCACTTGCAACTTTTAACTTTTACTTTAAACTTTGGCAAATAATAATGTGAGTTGAAAGATGGAAAAGTTGATTCCATGGAACTCTCCTTTGGATTCCAGGTACATAGAAAGGATAGCAGCTGTCTCTTCAGTCGGAGATGGCATTAAGCTCAGCAGCAGAGAAGTCCTTGAATGGATGCACAAAATCCAGGAGTGGAATCCCAAATATTTCACGCTCTCTCATGTCCCTGAGAAACACCGTCTATATGTTTCTAAATTCATAAGGCGGGTGATTATTGCTAGGATGTCAGAGTTTCCTGATCTTGCAAGTGCCTATCACCTTAGGCTCAGAAATGAATATGATACAGAAGAGAAGTTGAAAGATCCAGAGGTAATAAGGAGGAGTGAACAACATTTGGTTAGGCTACTTGATGAAATAGAAACACAATTGAGCAGTACTTCACACTTAGCCGGAGAAGAGTTCACCATGGCAGATGTCATGCTTATTCCAATATTAGCTCGTTTGGTGCTCCTAAGATTAGAAAATGAGTACATTAATACTAGGCCAAACATTGCGGAGTACTGGAAGATGGTGCAACAAAGGCCAAGCTACAAAAGGGTGATCGGAAAGTATTTTGATGGTTGGAGGAGGAAAAAATCATTGACGAAAACCTGGTGCTATATTCATATGAGGAGCTTGTTGAATAAATATTGAGTATACAGAGGTTTGAAGATAATAAAATTTCTGGATTTTTATTCTTTAAATGTTATAAATTGAGTAGGGAGTCCTATATTTATGTTGTACAGAAGACACTTCAGCCATTTTTTCTTTTGATTTTGTAATCATTTTGCATTTTGTTCAATTTTGAAGGTGTAACACGGATATGTATGTAGATTTTCGAGCTCAAATTAATTAAAATTGTTTTGTAAGCCGATTTGAAATAAAACGTAAATACCTTGTACTATGTCAGTATGTCTATAACTCGAACTTGAACTTGAACTTGCCCTTCTTTTCTTCAATGGTGGGTTTTAAGGCTTTTTTTCCCTTCACCTTATTTTATAAAATTTTGTTCACCTAAAAATCTAAAAGGTTATTCAACATGAACTTTATATGTTAAGATCAAATCTCATTTTAAGTGGTTAAATTTCATATGGTTGAATTTTATATTCTTGAAACAATGAAAAATTAATACTTGAAAATATGCATGGACTTAGGGCTTGTTCTCATTGACCGAACTCAGCTGAATTGAACTGAGCTGAGCTGAGCTGAACTGAACTGAACTGAAATGAAATGAAATGAAATGAATATTTTATAAGTGAAGGAAATTAGGAGTTGAACTGAACTGAACTGAATTTCAACGTAAGAGAACAGGCCCTTAGACATGGAAAACTGATCAATAGGTCATAGCTAATTGCATGACCGGAATTACTCGACCCAGAACCTGATATGGACATGAAATGTGGCCCAAACCGACCCAAATTGGAGCTATTTTGACTTGATGCCAGAAGAGACCTAATCCAATTTTACCTGATATCCAATTTTACCTGGTCTGAAAATTATTTGATACACGAATTACTGATCCACACAGACTCAATACCCAATGTGACCCATAAAGACCCAATACTTAATGTGACCTGAAGTGATATTACCTGATATTTGAAATGATTTTATCCGAAATACCTGATTGACCAGATTCAAATTTGACCCGAAATCTAGACCAGAAGTCCAGAACTCAATTTGACTTAAAAATGATCCAATTAGAGCTTGTCCCCAAGTTGACCCAACCCAACTTGAATAGGTCAATATTGATTCGAAATTTCAATTAGACACTTGTCCAATTATCTAGGAACTGAACGTATTGTAGGGGTTTATAGGTACTACGCAGCGGAAATAAACATGAATCATATTCATATAGTACCTAATCCCAAGATCTAATGCATAACACATAAAGAACATATAATCGTACATTTGAAGCGTGATTCCACGTGCGATTGAGCAAGAACAATAGGAGATAAAGAACCCCAAGCGTGATTCCTCTACTTAGTCCACGAGCATGGATTAAACCTCCACTAATGCTAGTTAGTTATGACTGAACACTTCAATCAACCTTCAACATCGATATGTATTCGACCTTGAGTTCTCATCATCATTTCTCTAAATGGTGAATTTGTCAATACTTTCAAATTAGAATGATATTTACATATATCAATGGATTCATTATACAATGATATTGAAAGTCCATCCCTTTGGATCTTTCGCATGCAATGTTCATTTTTCATTCGAATTAATTGACATATTAGAGATAATTTATATATATAGAAATGGTTTAATTATTTCTATCATATAGAACTTTAACTTGTTTAGCAATCTCAAAAACACATTATGACTCAATGAAGCATAGAATAACATTTATTCCACGTTTTTGAATCTTCGATGCTTAGTCATTATTAACATTGAATGGTGTTTTGATAATGGCAAGAATGAATAACATTTATTTAATTCTAGCCTATAACAAGGTAAGGTGAAATATAGGTTCTACTTGTAAAGTTGCAACTTTTGCTTCCAGACTCGTAGATTCTACTTGTGGAGTAGCATTTGCTTCTAGAATTGTAGATTTATTTCTCCCTTAGCTATAACTTCTTCCTTTAGTTAAACCTCATTCTCAATGAGAGAGAACTAAACAAGACATCATATGTCCAAGAAGTATCAATGTGCTAAATCAATTTCTATAATATACTTCTTAAATTGGAACATTTCCATTCTTTTACCTTCCAACTATATGAGGTAGTTTCTAATCAATTGGAATTGGTCCATTTAATTTGAAACATTTGCTGTTCATAACAACTTTTAGCATGTAAGCAGTTCTAGGTTTGAGAAGTAGCAACTTGTTTGCAGTTCTTAGCCTATAACTTCTTAATGCAATCCTCATATATTCCTAAACCTTTCCCATTTGAGCCACTTAGAACACTTCTCTTAGGTTCAAAATGATGTTTTGCTTAACTACTTTAAGCACTTTTCATGATTTTGCTAAGTCTATTCAATCATTATTTATAATAGAGTTTAATCAACTATTTAACTCTTATATAAAGTGGATGAAGAATAGCGTCATTTGATCAACTTTTGATCATAGAGATGTTCAATCACTTTCTTATATTCAATCATATTGAAGATAAGAGATTTTATTGGACTTCTATACTTGTCTTTTAGAGGGTTTGTACCTCCCATCTCATTGTATTCCTTGAAACACTTTTCAAAATGAAGATGTGTTGGCATTTTCCTCAAACATTTTGAATAAAACCAACCTTAGACATGTGACATGGATTTCTAAAACTTGCCTTTTAGAACCATCTTAGCAAAATTGGAATACAATTTTATGGATTATCTTTTAACCTTTTGAGAATGTTTCTCAACTTTATTTTCAATCGAGGAGATTATATATAATAATAAAATTAAAATACATGTAACTTAAAAGTAAACGCAAAATTCAATTACGTTTAATAAAATTTAAAGTACCATAAGCGGTTTTAAAACTGGTAACTTTAAAGCATTTATTCAATTTTAATTGATCCCTATTGAATAAAATGATCCCAAGATCCTTTATTTGTGCAATGATTGACCGGACTTTGGCCCTACCATCAACCATTACATTTTCAAGGTGAGTAAACTCTTTACTGATTACAACTCTTTGTAATTCTTGGTTGAATAATTAACCATCACATGTTTAATTATTACCCTTAGCTTCAAGGTTCTAAACTCTTTAGGTAACCTTGTTGAGTATAACCAATCAAAAGTGCAAAATTTGTTTTACCCCCTGTGGGGAATAAATTTCAAGCATTAAACCCCTATCTTGAACCCCATTGTGATCATACACTAAAGTACGGTGGCGTCCAAAAGGGAAGAAGATAGAGCAAAAGAGTCGCCAACAAGTTTTTAAGGAACTTGTAAACCATTCACGAGGTGAAGGTTACACCCCTTAACGATCCAAGAGATCGTCAACTCCATAAGGTCTAGAACCAAATAAGGATTCGGGGATGATGGTACAAATCCAACCTAAAAGAGATTGAACCTGCCCTAATAATAGGCCTCTACTTTATTCTGATCGTATTCATGTGCGCTTTTTGACTAACATGCAATCAATAGGTTTAACCCTAAACCTGTTTAATCTATGTTGGTTGAATTTAATGCACAAACAAACTATTATTGATGATCACTTGAATTATAATCACAATTAACCCTAAACAAAATTATTAATTATCTTATTAAGCGTGATTACAAGTACCAATTCCCTTTAAATATGCATAAAAGGCGTGATCAAGCAATAACAATAAATAAATATCAAGCAACATAATAAATAATCAATATCATGAATAATAATTATAATAATAATAATATTATAATCAAAATAATAATCATAAATAAAATAATCATTATCAAAATAATAATAATAACAATAATATTCATAATCATCATAAATTATAACAATTATAATCATAATCATGTTCATGTTAAAATTAAAGCATAACAATAATAGCAAGATCCTAGGCATGATACTAACAAGATTAATACCAAACCCTACCATGTCACTAAGCAATAAAAATCAAATCTTTAACCCTAATATGATACTAACAATCACAAATATTAGGAAGAACATAGGAAGCATCTTAGGAATCATAATAAGCATAATTGATATTATAACCTTTTCCCTAAACATGATACTAGGAATCATAATAACAATTTAAACATGATTTCTACATCATAATATCAATAAAAACCAATAAAGTGCTTACTTTGATGCTTCGTATCTCTTTTTAATAACAAAATACACACGTTAGTAACTTCAAGGAAAATAATCAAAAAATTAAATAATTGAAATAGAGATTTGGGACCAAACCCTCAGAAATTAAAACCTTTCACGTCTAGGGCGAAGGCAACTTCGAATATTGCTAGTTGTTTCTAGATCTTGTGAATGCGGAATTTTGTATGAGAAAACAAAGTTTAGAAGAAACAAAAGAAAGAGATGAATGAAAGAGATGAATGAGGAGAATTGGTGAATGAAAACGGAGTTTTTAATACATTATTTATAGAGAAAATCGGCCAAAAAGATAAAATTAACAAAACAGAGTCTGGCGCACACAAAACGAGGATGGCGCCAGGCATTGTCCATTGGCGCCAGGCGCCAATGCTTGGAGTCAGGCGCCGAGCCTATTTTTAACGCGTTTTTGTTTTTATCATATCTTTTAATCCGGAAGTCCAAATAAGGCATATAATATGTCGTTGGAAATCTCTTAAAGTCTACTTTCCAACCCAATTAGAATCAGATTAAAATATTTTGTAGATAAAAAGATATGGCCAAAATAGTGGAAGGGTGTTAGTTTTGGATAAAGTTTCATGTCTCATTCATATCTTTTTCGTTATAACTCGGATTTAATATTATAATATATCATTGGAAAGATAATTTCAAGATCTATCCAACCATATAAAATTTGGATAAATATTATGAGGCAAGAAAATAAAATCTGAATATATTCCACTTCGTACAAAACAAGGATTCTTAAAAGGAGTAGTTTTATTCAATTTCAAACTCTTTAAAACATAATTATCAATCCTAACTCCATTAGGATTTAAAAGAACCTTCTAGAGTATTCTAAAAGACTATAATTAATCATAATATCTTTAGGAATGATAATTAATAATAGGCCCTCCTCTAGATCATTGGGCCGCATATAAAAATCAAACCGGGCCTAGTTTAGTAAATTGGTCATAACTTCCTCAATATTCATCGGAATTGGGCTTATAATATATCGTTGGAAAGCTCTTTTCAAGACTCATCCAACTACACTATTATTGGACCCATATCATGGACCAACCAAATTGGATTGGATGTTTTCTAAAAATAAGTTTTCAAAAACAGAGAGAAGAGAAAAGAAATTAAAACTATCCGCAATACTAGACCTTCTACACTTT